AGCTGCAACGAGAGGCTCGAAAATGCCGAAAAAGCTTCAAGTGGCCTATCATTTTTTCGCGCCAAAAAGTTGCATTTGGCGGTTTTCCGGGCGTTTCGCGAAAACTCCTTGCCCGATTGATTTCAAATTTTAGGGTCTGACTCAAAGAGACAAGGGCTTTCGATTTGAGCATTTCGCGTTACGTCACGATACATACCGCGTGTGCTTCGGACGCGCCCCAAGGTGGCCTATCTTTATTGCGCGCACTTTACAACATCCCTGCATCAAAGACGACGCCACAAAGCCCAGGGTGCAATAAGTGCAAGGGAATAAAACAATTCACTTGAATTTGTGGAAGCGTGGAAGCAGCGTCTCTGACTTGCGCATGAACCGTCGGAATGCAGCAAATTTGCATGAGGCTGGGGTCCATTGCATGCCTTTGATGTCTAGTGGAATGAGAATGAAAGGCAAACGCGTCTACTGGCGTCTTGCTTGTAAAGTTAAAGAATCTGTGCTTCTATCATTTAAAAACTGCGGATTTCACAGTCAAGTCAAGTTCTAGTGTGTTCGCACTCGCGCCGCTGACAAAGCCATTCGTTCTCCACCCGTTCATGCCCGGTGCGATGCCCATTGCAGCGGCCCTCACCATATTGGTCTGTCTTTTATTCTCATTCCACTAGACGTCAAAGGCATGCAATGGACCCCAGCCTCATGCAAATTTGCTGCATTCCGATGGAAAAGCAACCAACAGCTAAACTCCGTGTGCTCTCGTTTGGTCCGGTGCTGCCAAGGGAAAGAGTGTTTTATAACCCTGGGTGTTGCAGTCTCGGTAAAGCTGCCAGCGCGCGTACACGATGTAATCTGCACCATAAATACTCGTGATGCAACACCGCATGACCTCTTCTTCGACATCAACGATAGCCACATTCTGTGGATGCTAGGTGCAGAAGCCCAGCACGCCATTTATTACTCGTCGCTCATTCCTCGTACCTGTATTTGGGTACTAAATGTACGAGTACTTAATCTTGGCAAAGTCTTGGTTCATTTCGAGGAGCAAGCGATTTACTTTTACCCATCGCTCTCAATATAAAGACAATATCATGAACCGACAAGAAATAATCATGGACGTCTCTGGACGATGATCGCGTGGACGCTCGAAGTTTCGAGACGCGGAAAGATACGAGCGCTAAAAGATCAAACTCGGTGCGCGGTTGCAGTTGCCACGCTTTCACCCACGGCACCTTGAATTGACTCACGCGACAGGCGCTGGGACGTCACGGCATCGAGCAGCAACCAAGGCACGAACGCTGGCGAATGGACGGGGCTCGACCGCCACGGCCCGAGCCAGTCCGCATACTTCAACTTGGCATCCGGCACATTCAACAAATCCGCGGCGCCCCGGGTGCATAGATTTGTCACACACTTGGCGCCCTTTTCTCCAAGGCTCGTCGCAGGCCCTATCTTCTCGCCCCGTCAACGCTTTCGCAGCACTGAAGCGAGATACCTCCTTCCTCGCTAATGAGCCGCTTGTTGCGTCCTGAATCAGCGCTGCTGCATCAAGAAGCGGTGCTGGCAATCGGCAGAGCGTTGGTCCACAGGCCGCGCCGCCGAACGTAGCATCGACAACATCTGGTGCAACGAATCGCGGACACATGGG